CGTTTTCGGATCGAAAAAAAAAAAAAAAAAAAAAAGGAGAAAAAATCCAGTAGCGTATCATGCGTTCGAAAATCATGTGTTCGAGTTTCATCGTTAGTTTGCACCTACGTCAAGAGTTCGAAAGTTCGTCCTACCGAAATGTTCGAAAAACCGCGTACGTTCAATGAACAAAAATATTTTTCAGTTTAAATTATCACGATGAAGAATATGCGTGGTGTTTCTTGTTATTATTATTTTTTTTTCATTTAAAAACTATAATTACAATATTTTATTAAATTTATTTTTAAAACTTGATCCGTGTTTTTTTTTCGGTTTTCCACAATTACCTTTCGAATATATTATAACATATTTCGCACGGACGATCTTTCAAACACTTGGCGTTTGAAGATACATTGTTCGAAAACACGATTTCCGAACAGATGACCCAGAAAAATAAAACAACTTGCAAAAAAATGTACATTATTTTAAATTTTGAGTGTAGCGAAAAAATGTATTAGTTTTACTGTCACGTGATGTGCTTTGCTGCTGTTTGCAAACAATATCAGTTTTCTACCAGTACTCATACAAGTCGCAACCATCAATTTAACGGGTGGTTTTTGGTTCTGGTAGCAAATCTTTTCTAGTCGATGAATTTTAGGATTATTTTTCGATTACTCTTGTACGCAATCAAGGTTTCTGTTATTTCAGATTCGGTTTTTTCATTGTTATTCAATGAGAAACAATTGTATGGACCTATTACTTTTACCGAATATAGTATACTTATATTAGCACTTTCTAGTTCTTTATTTATTTTGTATTTTATTTCTACATTGTTTATTTTGGTTGATACCAAAAAAAGGCATGCTTGTTTTAGTTTGAAAGTTATTAGAAAAATAAAACCTCTTCTAATTTCGCAATTTACGACATTCCGAAAAATGGATGGTCTTACTGAAATTGGATTTCTCCCTAGAAACTTAACGCTTGTCGTAGTTTTCAAGAATATCGAGGAATATTTTCAAATAAAATGTATATAATCAAAGGAAATATAGGAATATCGAAATTAAATAAATAAACATCGGTATACCTGGTAACGAACTCATATTAAGATGGATGAAATAGTTCGAAAAAACCATGTAACATAACCCGAAAACCAGACAAAAGAGCGTGATTTTATTTTTATATAGATTTCTAACAAGGCGACCGATGTTTGATATGTTTGAAAAATTCGTCCAGTGGTACCAGTTTACCTATTGATGTTTATAGTATAGATATGAAATGTCGAAATATATTTTAACTGTTAAATTATTTTCGAAATGAAAATAACTGATACAGCTGATTGGTGTGCCACTGATTTAGGAGAGAATTTAAAAGAGAGGATATATAGAGTAATTTAATTTTGATCTCTACGCAACGATAAACCATTGCGACTTTCTCAATAAACTAACAAAATGAAAATTTCTACAAGAGAATTCCTATGCAAATTTTGATTCGAGATAGATTTCTGGTGGAAAAGTAATTTATAGGCATAAAAAAAAAACACATTATAGTGAAACCAATACATTCTTCACTTCATCTAGAATCTAAAAAAAAAAAACCATTCAAAAATATTCAATTTAAACCCATTTATATAGATTTTTTTATAACTTAAAAATGTAAATTGTTTTTTTTTGCGTAATACAATATGAAATTTTAAATTTTATAATTAGGTAAACCTATTTATAAGTATGTATCGATTTTTATTTTGATCGTATATTAAATAAACGGGGGCATATTTAGTTGGGGGAAGGCTAATGGGAGTCTGGGGAATAAAACCCCATCATAGTTTGATGAGTATGTAATGTGGGACTATTGGAAGTAAGCACATCATGAAATTATGATCAATTTATGATAATATTTGTGGATGAGTATTGCAATTTGGATTCCTCCCCTATCCCCCCCCCAACCAAAAAAAAAAAAAAATCGAAGTACGTTACAACGAATAATAATATTTAAAGCACAGATTTGTACCTATGTTACTGGATATTTTTCTCCTGTCACGCATTTAGATTTTCGTTAATAATATTTACGAATCATAAATTGATCAAAAGTTATTTCCAAAACGGTATTTTGCATAATTGTTACATGTTTGATTATTGACACGATAATAATTGCATATTTCAATGAAAATAACGTACCGATCAAAAAATTGTCTCAGTAATCGATGCAACTATAACTTTACTTTAACTAAATATGTTTATACTTTTTACTGAATATTATACACATAAAACATATTTTAATATTTTTCAGTACATACATGTCCGCGCTCCAACAATAATTGATACGTCAGTTTGATTACACGCACTATACATCACAGTACGAAGCCCGTCACAATAATTCCATATTATAATTTACCACACTGCTAACCGTTTTCAAATAGCATTATTGTTTGAATACGGTTTATACACAATGTACATTAAAAATTAATTTAAAAAAAAAAAAAAAAATATCAAAACTTTTGATTATTTAAAACTCAATTTAAAATATCTGATTAAAGCTCTTGAAATGCTTTATACGAGATGACGAGACGTAGAGATAAAAATTTTACGAATTCGAGGTTAGGAAAATCTCACTGAAAATTCATGCATGCATTTAAGGACGCTTTCACCAACATAAACGAAAACGTGTATATAAATTGTAAACAGAGTTTAATATGGATGATGACCGTCAGCGATTGGTCGGTTATCTTATGAACCCCATTTAAATATCAGCGTTTATGTTAGTGGCCTTTATTATTATAATAATTGTATATGAATATAGAATTTTCCAATTTTAAAATGTTTAAATGTATTAATTGGAAAATTACGATACACGATGTAATAATGTAACACGATTATTTCGGTTATTGGTTAAAACAACTGCAGCCAAAATTTGTATAGTATATTATTTTCTCATTAAACGCGTACCTATGGGAAAGAAGGGTACAGATAACCCACTTATTTTTATTTTATTTGGTTATTTTGGTTTTTATAGTATTTATTTTCAGTTTAAATTGGCTAATTGTATTTATTTATTTATTGATTATACAATACATTTATTATATGCGTGTATTTAATCTAGTGGTTCCCAACTTCTTCTATTCTACAACACTTTCTTTATAGATTTTTAAAAATCTCTCACACCAATTTAACAACATGATTAGCAAAAAAAAACAGTACATCAAGGTAGATAATCAAACAATCAAGCAAACTTATCAAAAATGAAAACCTCCCGGGCAACTGCCCTCTGTCGCCTTTATCTAAATACGGCCTTGCACGTAACTCAATCACCGGTCATTATTTATTTTTTATTCTTTTCCCAGATTGTAAAATACAAATAATTTAATAAATACAAATTACCGTTTGGGATACACTGATTTAATCAATGCACGTATGTAAGCATACACAATTTAAATCGCTTATGAGTTGTGACTCGGGTTCCAATATTCAACCGGATCGTGTATAATGAACATTGAGGCTAACAATTGATGAAAATAAACATAGCGCGCTCGCGTCTATTATTGATCTATATTTTAAAACTACTTTCGTATGTTAAGTGAATTTTCTTCATGTTACATAGTTCAATGAAAAATGACGCGAAAAATGAAAACATGAATGTGAGAATATCCATTTAAATTTAAGAACCACTTTTAATAGCATTTCTCGGCTTAATTCTTCAACAAATAACTTATCAGTATCGAAATTCATAATTAGTTACAAAAAATTAATATATAATTAATTATATTAATAATTTAAATATATAAGTTATAATAATATAGTAGTGGTGGATCCAGAGAAAGGACGATAACCTTCCTCCCCCCCTCGTTCAATCCCCGATAAACACTCTACTCTTAGTTCGGTTGTCATCATAAATTTGAGCCTTATTTGAATTAATTTTCAAAATCAACCCCGTCCACCCATTAACTTGTCTTAGGTCTACTCCGGTAATAAAAAAAAAAAAAAAAAACATAGACACAGTTTGTTTAATTTTCAACTACTGAAAAAATAATACAAAATCAATTTTACACAAATTTTTGTAGACATAATAATGCAAAAAAAAAAAAAAAAACATACAAAATCTTAAACAATTTATAACTATTTACGGTGCGACGGATTTTAAATAATACGTCGGATAATACTAACATATACATAGCCCAAACATATTATCAATTTTTAAAATAATTATTCATTTTTTAATAAACCGTGGAATCCGAGGCGTAATGCACGAAATGATGTGTACATCCCGTTGAACAAACTTGGCAGTGACACGACAGTATTGGTGCGTATGAACAATGATGTGAAAAATAAATATAAAGTTTATTCTCGATTTATCGCGTTACTGTGCGGCGTGTACATCTACTATATGAAAACAAAAAAAATAATAAAATATTGTTGTGCTACTAACTTTTTTTCTTTTTTTTTTATTGTTCACGTTGTAATAATATAGGTACGGGACCGTACCTATATCGTTGGAATAATACAATTTACAAAAAAATAATAATAACAGTAAATAAATAAAAAATTACCGCTATACACGACGGGTGGTTATATTCGTAATGCATTTTTATTATTTCCATAATTCAAAATCGTGAACGGTTACAGGATAGGTACATGCCGAAAATAAAATAAAAATACCAAAAGACAATATTATCGTATAATATTTAGGTGATTTTCCTCCTAGTTTATCTAAGGAGAGTAACCTATAAATGGTGACAAAAACAAGACCGAATATCATTTTTGTCTGTTGTGAACATTTTTAAGATCACTGTGGTGAATCTAGAAAAATGTCTCTCATATGGAGTACCACCGTGCGAAAATCCAGCATCGTTTTAGGTACAGAAAGAAACACTTTTTACTAATCGAAAAGTGATTATTGAAAATACAAAACCGTATCTAAGTAATACGAATAGCTTATTTTTCGATGCACATTCTGAATAATTTTTAAATTAACGGTTCGACACGTGTAATACTAAATACAACGGGTGTAGTAGTAGGGAATATTTTAATTTTCTACCGACACCCGTATAATTTATTTAACGCGCCCGGTACTATTATTTGCCATATTTATTTTTAAAAGAAATTATTGGTTTTGCCATACGTAACAGCATGCCTGTATGCCTGTATTTACGGTCGCAGTTAAAACTATAACAGAGGCCGGGTAATAAATACAATCGGATTATGCACGAAAGTTTGACCATAACATGTTACACGCGTACTTGAATTTGGGTTCCTTTCAATTATTGCACTCAACCTCTGCGTATTGTAGTATATTTTTGTTAATAAGCTTTAAAATTTAAAAAGTTCATTTACATGAAAAATGTTGATAATGGTTTTTGAAAAAAATTCAAAAATATATGCCGGTCCACTTGTTGCTAAAACTACTGAAAAATTGCTTAGGAAACTCCGTCCTTTTACGTTACAGTAAATCGGGTATCGAGTAATCGAGTCTTATATTATTATCGATTATTGTACAGTATATTATGTGATGATAATATTAATAATGTTCTCACTTTAAAACAAGGCATACCAAATTGTATTACATAAAATTTATTTTTAAAAAAGAGAGACATATCTCGCACAATAGGCGTACAACTATTGTGGGTGGAAAATTGAGAAGGTGGGACATATATAGAGTAATTTAATTTATATAGAGCAACGATAAATCGTTACTAACAAAGAAAGTTTGTTAACGTTTTTAATAAGTTTTCATGAACTTCAATTGGAAATTGTATTGTAAGAAGTATAAAATCTGTGTTTTTTTTCAAATTCTCGAAAAAATTTTGGAACCGAAAAATTTGTATACAAAATTTCGTTTAAAAATCGAAAAAATGCGGATACGTAAAATGTTTTATTTTTTATGATTTTCAATTTTTATCATAATTTTAACTTTAAACACATATAAAAGAAATAATGGTAACGAATTTAACCCCGGTATTAAGAAAACTATTTGGAAAATCAAAATAACGACCTCTTCAAGTAGACAGGTATACCAAATTCGCTCCCGAAAATCACCTCTCATGTAGATATGATCAGAGGAAAATTTTCGGTACAATAAACGATAAATAAACAATAGTAATATAATTTCTTATAAAATAACGGAAAATAAATGGCGGATATTTTTGTTATTGACGCCTGTATGATTACCTTGAAAATCGAAAACAAAAATCTACATATATAAACTGCAGATATACATAAATCGATACCGTAAACCGATATCAGTTTAAACGCATCGCCATACAAAATACAGTGAATTATTTTTAGCGAATTTCCAGAATCCGGTGACCGTGTTTAAAAACGTTGGCGAAGTCTGTCGGCGAATTTCGGCAAAACGGAAAACGACCCCTCGATTAGTCGGCGGGTCTGTCCACTAGGTGGCGTTACGGTGACGGCGACGTCGTTGCGTTTCGCGCGCTGTAGCGGTAGCGTCGCGGCGTGCCGGCGATGGCGCGTACCGGCGACAGGCACTCGGTCACACGTGTTCCAGTACGAATCTGTCGTTCGTCGTCGTTCGTTGATCGTTCGGTTTCGCATCTGAAATGTTTTCGTCCTGTCAAAAATAAAACGTACCTAGTTTTCGTTCAACGTCGTGTTTGCGTTATCGCGTGCCCCCTTCCGATTGTGTCGCTCGTGCTGATAGAAATATAAAATAGTAAAAGGTACGTTGGACGTATAATTTTGTAAACATAGGCCAAACTAACCGAGTACTATCCGTAGTGCGCTGTGGTCCGGTTAGGTTAGGTTAGGTCGTGTCGGCTCTCTAATCACGAACTCTCAAACATTTCGATGTTGTAGGTACCTACATACGTATTAATTTTTGACTCGCGTTTCTATTAATTTTCATTACGGGACGGAATAAAATTACTTTTTTTTTTTTTTGATACCACACCTACCACTACTGCTGCAATACCGTGGAGACAAACCCCCGGCACGATTAAACGCTTTGTGTACATTCGTGTACAAGGTGTAAGGGTAGGTCTCGGCTTTCCGCAAACGTTGCGTATATTTCTGAAAAGTGGATTTAATCGAATTGTCTTACTGAGAAATAGCAGGAGTAAATAGTTACGGATTTTAAATTTCGATAAAAATGCCCTATTCTACTATTGTTCTTTGTATACCAACACATACTTTTTAACCTAGGTACCCACTTGACTATTCTTGTTTTGCCGATTTCATATTATTACCATTCAACATTACATTCGTCAAAACCAACGCCTAATAGGTTAAAAAAAAAAAAAGAGGACCAAAAAATGAACCACTTATTTTTTTGTTATTAGATTGACGTTTCTGGAGATCTTCAGAAATAGCTAACTGGGAATTTAATCCTTTATCGAGTTACTTCGGCTACATTTTGATGGGTACAAAAATTGTATTGTCAATCCATTTTTATGCTATTTTAGTTTTTTTCGGATGTTCTAAGATACATACTGTCAAAGGTTTTGTCGACAGTTGAACGCTGTCGTCACAGATTGAATGTTGACGGAGCGCAAACGATTTTATTTTATTGTCACGCTAATCAGTGGCCGTTATTACAAGATTTATGCGAACTCAAAAGAGTACTCAGTTTCGTAATTACGCTCTATATGCGATAATTTAGTTTTGGGCTTTTCTCACCAGAATAATTATATTCTCCGAATGTAGGTAGGTATACAGGCAACTATTATACTTTCCGTGTTAGGTATATACATGTATTTTCAAGTGGCCAAACGTCTTGTTTTAAATAATTACCTCTATAAATTACCCGTAGTACCTTTGTAATATTAGGTTAGGTTGGGTTTAGTAAATTTCTGAAAAACACGAAAATCGTTGTAATTAATATTATGTGAAATATGTCAATTGTCTACATGGTTTTCTACGATATTGAATCTACTTAAAAACAGAATTTTTTTTTTATTTTTCTTAAGTCTTAAGTTAACTGAATAGTATTATAAATTACCTACCTAATGAATAGATATTTAATTTTGAACGGCAGGTTGACAGGATGGCGGATCAAGTGACCGTTAATAACGTGCGGTGTAATATAATGAAATTGTTTGTTTTATGCAATCTAATTAATAAGCCGTAGTTGAGTACGAGAAAAAAAAAACAATTATTTTTTTTTTATCAGGAGTAAGTATTTTATCACTTACTAACAAATTATGAATTGATATTAGGAACTGCACACATTTACGCTGTACATTGATTCTTAAAATAATCGTCGAATAACTTTTTTTTTTTTAGCGATTGCATTCATTTTTAGTGCATATTAGTGTATTTTATGAGGTTCTAACGTAAAATTAAACTTAATAAAGTATAATTTTCTTAAAAAAATTGTTTGTTTTAAATTAATATGAATTACTTAAGTATTCGAAAATTAAACTTGTATTTTGGATTTGTCAATACACCTATTATGTCCTTTCATTTTCGGGTCATGTTTTGAAGACATTATTATTGTGGTTAAAAGTAAATTTTCGTATCACACGATGTCTCCTAAAATCCTAAACTTATCTTAATTATTTGTGTGGTAAAATAATTCGATATTTTTTCAACTAATATTTAGAACATCAAATTTCGATCGCTTTTTGTATACACTATAAACAAAGATTTACTATTATTTTTATGACTTGATACATTAAAATTGTATACTCTTTGACTGTACACATAATTACACTAAAATTGTAACCATAAATTGATATAATTACCAAATAAATATTATTTGAAGTTCATATTACAATTTTTTAAGAATGTTAAATTTAAGTTATTCATATTATGTTAAATAATATGAATTAATAATAATAAAAAAAACGATCTAATATTTCTGCCGGTTTGCAATCTATTTTAGGCAGGAAATTGAATAATTAGGATATGTAGAGTTATCTTATTTACATTTGGATGCAGCGATAAATCGTTACTAACAACAGACGTTTCTGAGCGATGTTTAATTAAATATATTTAATATGCCGTTATTTTCATCAACATTTGAATTTAAAATAAATCGTATAAAAAAAAAACTACCTATATAAGGTTCGAATTTTTTTTTGATCACTTAGTATAACTTACTATGGACATCGTGTAAAATTTTCAAACATCTCTGCTCACCAAAATAATACATTTTATCCATATAAAATCAACTAAAAATAAGAGCTAAAACTGGGGACCGACTTAGCCACTGTTGTAGGTGGGAAGTTGAGAAGATAGTATACTAGGGTGGTCCTTAGACTATAGATGAAAAAATTTTGTTTTCGATTTTTGATTGGGCTACCACTGAAATTTGTTCAAACCCACAAAAAAATGTATTTTGTAAAGTTTCGTAATAATCGGTAAACCTTAAGGCGTGCCTCAAGAGGGTTGAAGTTCAAATAAGGGTGATTTTTAGATTTTTGTAATTTTAGTC